TAGATATGCACGGGCCGAGCATTCGTAGTTGTTCATAGGCGTGTGAGTAGCTCTGCAATTACATCTAGTGGCATATTTACTTTTTGAGGAAGTGCACATCGGGATGCGTAGAACCATTTATTGGGCTTAATGGGGCTTCATTTTTAGCAGTATGGGTGGCGCTCTCATCTTACAACAGCAAAAAGCCCAGATGATAAACAGCTATATGAACGTTAAGGGCACATGTACTCATCTGCCACCATCTTGGGGTGGACAGAAAGGAATCATTTGAACTGCACCCCTTCACAGCCACTGTTGACAATTACAGACAAAGTAAATTGACCATCTGGCTACAAATCAACCAGCAAGACAGGACTGGTGGGAAAACAGCAAGTCAGCTGCGAATAGAACAAACAGTATTTAAATCAGCTCCTCTGGATGTTTAAATGACACAGCAAGGATAATAACAACCAACAACCAGGATATTGACTTGAGGCCTATACAAGATACTACAGCATAAATGATGATATGAAAATAATATAAATTGATGGCTTTGCCTGAAATAGACTATAATAAAGAGAGGGGCATTAAGTCAGGTTAGCTCATGTTAGATGCTAACTTTGTTGAAATGAACCTTATTTAGCTGCAATTCGAGTTATTTCCCATTCTGAGGTAAACATGGCAGATGTTGTCCTTTAGCATTACTTTAGCATACACCTTTTAAAACGAGGGCTCGCGGTATGTTTAAAGCGAACATTGCTAAATATGACAGCGATGCAGAAACAACAGATGCTACATGACAAATTGACAGATAGCGTTGCTAACAACCCCAGCCGAGTGGACCTGCAGGGGGGGGGGGGGGGGGGGGGGGGGTCATGATAGGAAACCAACGTGGTTCACGTGAAAAGTGAAAATAAGACTTGAATCCACATTCGTGTGTGTTAACACGATGTAAACGGAACAATGTACAAACGCGTAGCTTCATGTGCGCTTACACATTTGACACCAGTGAACATCCCCGCAGCTAAAGCCTGCCTGCACTGGCAGTTTAGCTACAAAGCTAACATCGGATGACTGCAAGGATTAACCGTTAACGGAGCCTGCTCCCCCGTTACACACTCGCACCACACACGCTGCCGTCGCCAACACACGCTGCCCGGTGTCACCGCGGCGGCGAAGAGCACCGAGCTTAACGGGAACATTAACGCGAACATCTGCCTGGCGTCTGCTTGCTATGCAGCAGGAGGAGGGGGGGCGCTAGCGTTAGCATCTTTAGCATCGTTAGCTGCCTGGCTGCTGCTGCTGCTGCTGCCACCCCCCCACCGGTGGTTCTTCTGCAGGGGGCATCGCAGTTTACCGAGAAAAACACAACGCACGACAAAAACCCGCCGCACGCAGACCGGAGGAGACGCGTTTGGTGTGTGTCCGTGTGTGCGGGTGACGGCGGGGAGTCAACATAGCGTACCTCGGGATGGAGAATGGGGACGCAGCCAGCTTCTTTCTCATATTCCTCCATAGCGTCGGCCATCTTGGTGGTGATGTCCGCTGAGCATTGTGGGAAACAGGAGGCTGTGTAGTAGAAACAAAACAAGGGGAGGAGGAGGAGGAGAGAGGAGCTGTCAAAATGTGAGGGATGAAGGGCAGGTCTCATCACACAGAAGGTCACATCATCACACCATGTGACCGGGGGATCTCATGTACAGTAAAATATAAACTCACTGCCTGTTCTTAATCTGACTGTTTATTATGGGCTGTTTGCTCTGGAGCTTTTTATTCTTTATGTGCTGGAGCTTTTTATCAACAGTCTATGGTGCAGAGTGGAGTTAGAAAACTTTGTGTTCATCCTACCTGGTGTAGCTGCAGGGAAGATTTGATAGTCAGTGTTTTTCAATAAAATGAAACTCAATTTGCTTTGTTACTGTTCGCGTGTGTGTGTGTGTTTTTATATATAAGTTTGAATGATTTACTTGAATGCTGTTATATTTTCATACATTGCTTCAATAAAAGTCAGGACACATGACACAAATGTCCAAATCGCACCACATTGTTACACTTTACACTTTACCTCTCTGGGCCATTAACATTAACATTACACATTACGCAGGTAGATAGTAAATGCATGTACAAATACAAATTACAAAAACAGTCTTTATGGTTTCATATTGGCCTAAGAGCTCCTCCCTATAGACTTTCTATAGCATACTGTGTCTCGACTTTTAAACCTGCACTATTATGTGTTTTTTACAAGATACAGAGTTGATGATGTTTTTTCTCCTATAACAGAAAACAAAGTGACAGCTGCTGTGTGCCACTGCTCCTTCACCACAAGTCTGTGTTCGAATGGTAAGACTTCATCGAGGTTAGCTGTCACTAAAACACCATGTAGTCATAATACAACTTCAAACATCAGCGTCAATTACTAATGGGGCGACAACCCATCATCATTCCTTGTTTACTGTTAGCTCTGAAGCTTTGAGCATCGCCACACATCATTTAATATATTTTGAAAATCAGTCCTTGATCAAGCACGTTGTGTACTTCAATACAGCGTAGAAAATTAAAATTCCTTAACAAATTGTCATATTGTTATTAAGTTTATTTTTTTAAAAAGACAACTGAAAGTACAGGGGCTCTACTGGGGGCGGTTAGATTTCAGCTAGGGCTAGGGCCCCAACCCTGGTTCCACCCCCACAGTATATCAAACATCAAACAAAAGATAAATAATCCAAAATATAATCATACAAACAATAATTAAGTCCCACTCTGTGTTCTTGCACACGCAATGAAACACTTGTATATTTTAAAATAAGGTGAGAGGCGAAAAGACTTTGTTGACAAAGGGAACGGTCAGAATATGTGGTGTAAACTTTGTGAGTTATATTGCTTGAGAAACAAATTCATATTTAAATCTATTTTTAGTGAATAGAGGGAGACATTAATGTTGTCTCTATGGCAAATGCTTTATTGCAGCATAAGTCAACAAATATGGTTTGAGTTCTCATGGAGTTTCAACTTTGTTCTCAGGTGAACACAGCGCACAGATGACACAGTTGTCATCACAGCCACACAAACTCTGCCATTTCCTGCCACCACATCTTCATCTACAGGGTCATGGATTGTGTGAATTAGAACAACCACAGTCAGCTCTCGCACAACCAGAAACCTCAATGTCTGTGTCAGAAAACTTCACTTTCTTGTTCCTCTTCACTATAAGGAAGTGTTGCTATTCTTCAACATTCACAGGGTGCTTTTCATATTATCATTCCACGGCCATGCTTATACTGTGAGCAAAAGCCAAACCCAAAAAGAATATATTCAATATTTGTATTTACTCATCTGGAATTCGTTTCTTGAGTTAACACCATTTTCAAATAGCATGTTAAACTAGGCAACACTATTTACAGTGCTACTTGCACACTGGGTTCTGACAGAAGTTAAGGTACAAGCAGGTTCAAACAGTTTTGCTCAAAAGTGAAAAAAGCAAGGACAATATTTCCTCAGAAGATTACATCGGAAACGCCAGAGTCAAAGATAACTCATCATTATGCACACATTATTTTATATTTCCAACTGGTTTTCTTTTTTTCATTTAGAAAGCCTCAGAGCAACTATGTGATTTTGGAGGCATATTCATACAGCTGCAAGAGTATCATTATTTGCAATTTATATTTATATATTTATACATTTACAATATGCATAGTACACACTGTGTAATATATACACAACATTGTGTTCCTGCTTCAGTTTCAGACTAAAGCTGTTGCTAAGACATTATTCGGGGAAATTATTGTGTACTTCTTTATATTAATGTCAAAACATTTAACAAAACTGTCAAAAGAATGACAGATGGAGGACATTACATCTTGTGAGACAGACACTCCACACTAAGAAAAGCACACAGCTTGGCTTTCCAGTGTCCAGTACTAAATGGTCACAAGGAAACCTTAAGGCACACAGAGGACGTTGACTTTCACACCCAATTGAAAGCAACAACATTGCAGTTCCTAATTTCTGCCTTTAAATGTTCTCCTCCCATCACTTACATCTCTCAGCCACTAGATGTCAGGCTTTACCCAGACATGCGTGCACAGTAGTCAGTAGTCAGTAGTTTCAGAAGTGAAAGTGTCCTGAGAGGGGCGCTGCTGAGTTGTTCTGTTCAGTCAGGAAAATCAAACGATCACCGAGTAGAAACAAGGAAGGAAGTCATCAAGTAACACTGTCATCGATCATGAGCAGGATATCGAGGGTTCGACCTTCAGAATAAAGTCATGGCAGAGCATTGGTACCTAAAACAGAACTGGCATGAGAAGAAAATTACTACGATTAGTTAAAAGTTGTAGTACGAGCATTAATAGAATACAAATATAATAAGATATGGAAACATTTATGACAATCTTTACACATACATGACACCAAGCACAAATTCATTCAATTAAACTACAATTGAATCAGGAGAGTATGAGCAGTTTAATAAACAGTAACTATATAGGTATATATATTTTTTTTCATCAATTATTTTCTAGTGTTTATATATACATATAAACAATATATATGTTAACAATATGAAGATATATTCAGGGAGTAAGACAATAGAAAACATAACAAAATAATAATTGTAACAATATGAACACAGCGAGAGAAAATCAAGCTCTGGTGTATGAAGGCTATTACAGAATGAATGAACAAATCTATCAAATAAGTTGTATCATTTTGTTTTTAATGACTGCAAATTAAATCCAATGTAGGGTGAACAATTTTTAGCGTTGATAAAAAAAAGGAAACGATCGGGGTAAAAACATGTTTTTTAAAGGTAATCATGTTATTCTAATGGGATTTCAATTGTGCAATTTCAAATTAATGATTGTAGTTTAAATTTAAAGACAATTCTTATGGAAGACCACCAGTCTGGTGAAAACTGTGAAACCAACATCGGCTTTTAGTTTGAAGGCTGAAACCGGAAACGCGGTGTAATGACTGAGCGGAGCTTCGTCCACTCAAAGCGGTGACAGAACCGCGTAGGCGGGCCGGCGGAGAACAGGTTGAACATCCGTGGGTCGTGGACGCTCGCAATCGAACCCGCAACCCTGAAATTGAACGCTGTGCTTTCAAACATTATTACCCGGACCCGGGTGACGTGGCTGAGCGGAGTAGGGGGGCGCGCGCAATGAAGCAATGGCTGCCTGCTAATAAACATTACAACCCCGCCTGCTAACACTTAGCACACACACAGGAGGACCGGACGAGTATCCACAGCCCGTGTTTTCCCGTCGTGAGCCCGTCACGCGACCCGCCGGCACGCAGACCCCCCCAGAGAAAGGAAAGGTGAGTGTCCCGCAAACACAACAAGATTTAAACTAATCAAACGCACCTCTGCACCAGCTGATGATGATACACCGCAGCTAGCTTAGTCGCTAATGTGTGTGTGATTGTGGTGAGTTGACAGCCGTGACTCTGCAGTCGAGCGCCGCGTAGAATTATGTAATAACGCGGGGATAGCGATCGCCGAGTGCGGCCGCTTCTCCATCTCTATACACTTCCTGTACAAGCTGTCCCGGCTCGCCCCCCCCCCTCCCCCGTGAACATGGTGTGTGAGAGCAGCGTGGTCGCAGCTGGGCGAGCCGATCGGGAAACAGATGAAGCGGTGAGTGGTTAGATTCCCATTTCCTGCAGCCCCAGTGCATCTGGGTGGCTTATCTGTTGCACTCGTGCCCGATGCGGCTTCGCATGTGTTTAAAATGTGCCTGTGATCCTGCTCCAGTGTCGCATGTGTGCACCCCCCCAGCCCTGCACGGTGCTCTGTTACCACTTTCACCCGACAAGGAGCCGGGAGCAGAAACAGGAGACTGGCCGGCATCAAGACCTGTTCCTAGTTGTGTCAGACCCAGTGATGCATCCGGTCGCTCCTGGCCTGTTACGGGATATCTGTTATCAGCCTGTCATGTTATCCTCCTGCTTCTTATGCAGCTTTCTCCCTCCGGGTGTTTGTTTGGACCATTTTGTGGTTTATTGTTGGAAATGTATTCTGCGTTTGAAGGCCTTTAATATCAGCTCACTTACACCCACCTTCAATAAGTGTATGAAGCACATACACTATCAGGATGGATTGTTTTCTGGCTTGATAGTTCACAAATGTGTTGTTAACATCTGTTAGTCATAGGGCTCATCATGTTAAATGTGACATTATTCTTGCTCCTGAGTGAAGATTGTGGTTTTAAACTCTTCTTTATGAGCAGAAAACACTTCAACAAAACATTTTATAAACTTGGAGTGGATAGATACTGTCTTCACTGTGTGTACACAATGCATACTCAACATAAAGCTATCTGTTGGATGTTTGTTGTCTTGTTTTTGCTAAAAATCATATTGCGATAGTTATTTGAATTGTTTTTATAACCCAGCCCTGGTTAGTGGTATTTTGTATTTTCATGTTTTCCATCCTCTGCCTGTTTGCATATAAATAAATGGCAATCCTAGACTTTCCATGGCACACTTTTGTAAAGGTGACTCCTGCAATCTATGGTCAAGGGAGCAATCCAGCTCATTTGTCAGTCAAATGGAGTTTCCATTCAGCACTTCTCCAACACATGTTACCAGCACACTTCCCTTGTTGACACAATTAGCTTTATATTTGAATTCAGACTCTATTCAGGAGCACGAGGGTTGTAATGATGCTGATGTCCATAGGAAAAGAGAAAAAGATCCACCTTTGTGAAGCTTGTTTGCATAGTGATGGAAGCAACAATACCGAGTTAGAAATTGATTTTCCACTCATGGCAACACAATCGTTTTTTTTGAGCACACAGAAGAATCCAAAATAAGTATAGTTTGTTTTAATCGATGCCCTTTGTAGGTCAGACTGGTTGAAGAGAGCAACTAATAATTATCTTTATTACAACTAAATCAATTATTGCTTTTACTATACATGTTTCGGGAATCTGTTAAAGGTACAGTGTGTAGAATTTAGTGATATCTATTGTTGAAATTGCATGTTGCAGCTGAACACCCCTCACCTCACCCAATCCTTCCAAGCATCTTTAGTTTGTCCAGTCTGGACTAATGTAAAAAACATGGGGGCCTCCGCAGAGAGGACCCGCTCAATGTAAATGTAAAGTATTTAAATATACAATTTTCTAGGGTAAAGAAAACTACAATTCATACAATTTAGATGAAATGATCTTGTTATAACATCATAAGGATTATTCTACATTAAATATTTCCCTTTCACCTAAATCTTACACACTCGACCTTTAAATATGCACAGAGTGGCTCTACAAAGATATCACTGTGGCAATAGACAAGTGTTTTTGATGTTGATTTCACAATGTAACGGCTAATGAATAAAGACTCCATCTGCATTTAGATTGGTTCCCATAAGCCTTGCTTTCACTGAGCTCCAGGCATGAAAAGGAAGTGCATCTGCCACTGCACAACAAGAACAGAGAGAGGATAGAGCTTTTGTTTTCCTCAGTAGCTATCAGACGCTTTCCCGAGGTAGTGGAAACTGTAGCCAGTAAAAGGAGAAGAGCCCCGTTGTTGGGAGGAGATAAAGAAGGCCAAGTCAGGGAGTGATATTAAGGCGGAATACGAGTGAACCGCAGACGCCATTATTTTTACTGGATCAATGAATAACAAAACCTGCCCTCTCATTAATGCAACTGGAGTTTTACCCTGCTTTTTATCTCTTTGCATGTGCATATGTGCAGAAGCCTTCTGGGTATTCAGTTTCTGAATCACTTTCTGAGTTTCTGATCACCTGATTGATTCAGTCATTTGTATCAAGTGAACATTTGCAGTCTTAATACAGTAGTTTTATAATCTGCATGATGCCATGTCATGTGGTCTCAGCAATTGTTTTTATTATTTATTTTAGGACAGATTCTAAAGCATAGCTCAAATGGCTCATTACAGAAGCACTTTGACTGCTTTTAAACATGAATGTTGAGTACCTGTCTGACATTTCATTATTTCAAATGCTTTGTTTGCAGAAGTAAACTGGTATACCTATCATCTCCAGATTCCTGCTGCATGTCTGAAAGCATTTATCAAGGAAATGGGGCGTTTATGGAACATTTACCTTGAGATGCACAGTTGTATTAATGAAACTGATTAATTATGCAAAAGTGCCGTGCTAGCTCCCTCTAACTCAATGGAGAGGGGCAGTTTATTTCTATATTAGCAATCGAACAAGGTCGTGTCTGCAGAGCCGGTGAAATATTTCTCTCCTACTCTGCATCAGTTACATTAGGTGTGTGTTAAATGGAATGTGGTATATCCACATTGGCCTTGATGCTTGCCATTACAGAACGGAAGGGTGTAGTCTTATGTCCACACTTCAGTAGCTTAATTAGCCCTTTGTTGTTTAATGTGTGCACATGCATGCAGAATGAAATGTTGTTGGTGAAATATGGAGCACAATATTTAATCAGTTATGGTTTTCTGAGCATGACAGCTTTTTTGTCAACCTTATTTTTATCAGATTCTTCATGATTTGTCTGTCATAAGAAATCTATGAGGAAGCTTTTCAATATGTTTTCATTATCCCTGGTTTCATTATGATCCATCAGATTCCTTTCATGATATGAAGATTGTAATCAGCTTCCCACAGGAACTATTTACATGCAAACCCTGGCTGCTATTGATGATCTGAAATTAAAACAGTCATGGTCAATATTTGTTTGAATCATTTCAACTTAATGAAATTCAGAAAATAAATATATTCCATCGTTGCAGATATTAAGGAACTTTCCTCGTGGAGTTTTGCATTTCCAGTGAAAAATGAATCACTCGGTTTCTTCCACTGGGAGCACATTACTGACTCGCAGCAACTTGTCTGTTTGCCACAATTGTAAAATTACATACAGTGGAAAGTGCACTTGGATTAAATCTGTTCTGTCATGAATCCTGTTTCACAACCACATATCAGCATCATTGTACTGCGAGAACAATAATGTGTTATAGCCAAGTTTCACCACATTTCTATCAATATAATGATTATAATAATAATAACTGTGATAGATTTGGTCTATATAAAAATGTTATTTCATTTTCTTCCCATTTGATACTAACCACTGCATTCTTGGATTGGGAACACCCCACAATACCCACTGTTTTGGAGATGCTCTTACCCAGTCCTTCAGGCTTCACAAGTCAAGTCGCTCAGATCCTTTGCCTGTTTTTCCTGCTTCCAACCATAGACTCAGTCGAGTGAATCACTCCACCAAGACCCAACAGTCCCCTCAAATTAGGCACCTAATCTGCACATGTTTCTTTAGACATCGTTCTAAAACTATTGAAGTTTCCTTAAACTTCTGATTCTCAACTAAATCCATATTTTCTTCCCTACACATCTTTCTACCCTTATTTATGATTGTACAGCAGCTAATAAAAAAAATCTACCCCACACCAGTCCTCCTATATGTGCCCTATTTTTTCATCAGGACCCGTGAATTATGCCCAGGGAAATTAGTGAAAACTAAAGATATCTCACAAAGTTAAAAACAAATCCAGGATCTGCCCCTTTGTATGAAACCATTCCAAAAATGTGTGGATTTATTTCTTGGTCCAGTTTTGCAGCATGATTATTGTGACAAAATATATTACAGTGATTATTATTATAATCATAGTATTCATAATAATGTTTAAAACAATAGCCTCATGGAAACTTGGCTGTGACACAATATTGTTCTTACAGTACAATAATGCTGATGTGTTGTAGTTTTTGCGTGATCCTGCTGACAACCAAACAAACACACAAGCAAACCGGGTTAAAACATAAAACCCTTTGCAGAAGTTATAATAATAGCACATGCATTAAAAAACAATTATTATAATAATGATTACTTATCCCATGCCTTTACAAGTAGCATTGTAATAAGATAAACAATGTCATTCACTTCAGTTTGCACAGTCCTTAATCACAGTTCAAGTCCTTGAAGGGCTTCACAGCGGCCACATTTTGGAACAATATAACAACCTCCACAAGTTGAGTTCCATCACTGAACAAATATTCACCTATCAAGCGAGTTCTAAGTCTCTCTCTCTTTCTTTCTTTCTCTCTCTCCCTCCAGAGTGAAACACTTATCAGGAGCCATAACAAATATTTGCTACTCATGGAGTTATTGAAATGCCAAGGCCAGTGCATCAGTGCAGGCTAATCTTCCAAGCCGGGACACTCAGGCCACTGGCTGTGGTTTGGCCGATTGGACGCATTTGCTCTCACAAATGCCAGATGTGCTCCAAGTGATAGAGTTGACTCTACTTTCTTGTCAGTGTGGTTTAATCCAGCGGTGGCAAACAAATCGGGTTACGTTTTGCAGCACTTT